CCCGCTTCTCCCCGCCCCTTCCGCCTTTGGCTTTCGCGCGCGGGCGGGCTCTGCGTCATCTCCTCGTGTGTGCGCGAGAGGGGAGTTGGCCGCCGCCAGGCACGTTTGCTAACCGGGCCCTTCTGTGTGTCTCGTAGGTGCCTGCCCTGCCCGGCGCGATGGCTCCCGTAGCAACAGGTAACGTCCCGGGGCCCAGCTCTGCACCCGGCGCGGGAGCCCGCTGCCCCGCAGGCTTCCCCAGGGCGGGTGGGGGCTTGCGCGGCTGGGCTCCGCTCCGAGCAGCTCGCCCTTGCCAGGCAGGGGAGGGCAGAGGCGCGCGCCGCAGCGCCTGGGGGAGGCCGGTTAATAAAGAGCGCGTGCGGCCTAGGGCGGGGGGAGCCTCAGTCTTTGTTTTTTAAACCCAAACCGGGGAGGGGCTGACCTAGAACACGCAGGACAAAACCTGCAAAGGCGCGTGGCCGAGTCCAAATTCAGGAGGGTTGAAGGAGAAACTTTAAAAGCTGTTTTCATGGCCTCTGTTCTCCTTCACTCCAAGTGGGCCCCTTAAGGTTCTCCTGACTCCCTTGCCTGTCTGCAGAGCTGTAGCAAGTGAAGCCAGGTGTAATTCATATAAATCCAGTTCTGCTCCAAGATGAGTGAAAGCAAACATAGCATCAACCTAGAGACTTGCTGCTTTATACTTTTTCATTTGAACAGTTAAGGATGCTGAGAATCTCCAATAACTTTCAAATGTCACTTGCTTAAAACCACTTTTTTGTCCTCTTAAGGCAATGTCTGTGTCATGAGCAAAGGGTATGATTTCCTTGTTTGCGTGCACATGCTTGCAGTGGCTAGCTCTCAGCTGGCACAAGTATAAATAGCAGTGGGGCACAGGTAGATCCAGCAAGCGACACAGCTGAACCTTTCCAAATACGAACCTGCCTGGTGGATATGCTTTTTTTTTCCTCGTTCCCTGAAGATGATGCCATCAACAATAGCCAACTATTGTCACACTTTATCTTAAATAAAACTTAGCAGTTTGTGCCTATATGTGTTTGCTTGTATTATTATTAGTACAGAAACAAAGATAAGAAAGATGTGTACAGAGAAATATATCCAATGTGTAAAGTCCTCATAGTTTAAGAATACAAGTCTTGGGTTTTTTCATCAATAATGGAACTAGGTGGCCAATGGTCATGAGATTTTACAGACTCTTGTGTCTGCTGTTGGAACTGAAGTTTCATACTGGTTTTCTAGATGATCTTTAAATGTTCCTCTATAATCACTGAAGAAAATGCTGGAGCATTATTAGAGTATTCCTTCTGGTCTTTAACTATCTCAGCTTCCCAAAATATATTTGAACATATGATTAGCCAAAATAATCGTAATTTATACAACATTTATCATTTAAAAAAATTAACTTTATTTCTCTAGAACTTAAACTTGGGAAAAAAATTAATGAAGGTAAAACAAAAGAAGTCTATGAGTTGCCAGAGCTCGCAGGTTGTGTGCTGATGCAATCAAAAGACCAAATAACAGCAGGGAATGCAGCTAGAAAGGATCATATGGAAGGAAAGGCAGCAATCTCCAATACAACTACTAGCTGTGTTTTTCAATTGCTTCATGAATCTGGTAAGTATTTTACAGGTAAAATACATGCATTTATGTTGTATATGGTAAGTCCTATATGACTGACTGAAATGGCGTAAACATTAATTCACCTAGGTTTTGGAACAGACTGACTTTTGTAAGTTTCTTTATATCAGTGTTTCAAGAGTAACATAAGATTATTGATCTAGACTACTAAACACAAATTAATTTATCATATTTGAAGTCCACCAAACCCAGAAAGCTAATGTGCATTACTGCTGTCTTTCTGGACACCGTTCTCTTCCCTCACGGCCCCCTACCTTATGCTCCTTTTCAACTCCTAGTTTAAAATCAGACTAGAGTATGACGTTAAGATCTTATTTCATACATGTGTCTAGCAAAATCTGTGACTCTGCTCCATTGATTAGGAGTGAAGGAGAGGCAGAAACATCCCCTTACTAAACTGACCAGAGTATGCATTTTAGACTGAGCAAAAGTGCCATTGCAACTGTAAACAGCAGAGGTATCCTGGATTTCTCAACTAGCGGCTAACAGTTGGTGTTAATGCCTTATGGGAGGAGAGAGGCAATTTATTTACTTTGCTGAACTCTTCTGAACTGGAAGGTGATACAAAAGTGGTGTCTATAAGTGAGATGTCTGTTAATTTCTTTCACTTTTCATAGAAACAGAATTTGACTTGCAATTATTGTGAACTAAGAGCAGCAGCTCTAAAATACACATTTGGGAAAAACAGAGAGGGCAGTAAAAGCAAACTTAAAATTCTGTAGCTTCAGAGGGGTAGTCGAGTTGGTCTGTAACAGGAAAAACTTAAAAAATAACAAATAGTCTAGTAGCACTTTAAAGACTAACAAAACATATAGATGGTATCATGAGCTTTCATGGGTACAACCCTCTTCTTCAGATGACTGGAGTGTTGGAAGTACTCTGGTCATCTGAAGAAGCGGGTTGTGCCCACGAAAGCTCATGTAGCCTGGATTTATCAGTTAATCTTGTCAACTACATGCACTGCCCCCTCCTCCGCGCTGCCTTTGATTCAGAGGCAGAAGGGTGGAAGAGGAGCGAGTGAGAGACGGTGGACGTGAGGAGCTGGTTTAAAAGCCGGCTCCCAGCGAGCACTGCATCTACCTGTCCCCCCTCGCACTACCATTGCTGGTTCCTCTGATAGGCAGCAGCACAGAGGGTGAGGTATGAAGGCTAGAGCTGATATGCAGGGGGGTGCCGACTTCCAAGCTGACTCCCCACATGTGGTGGTTCTGTGGATTCACCTCCCTTTTCCCCTCCTACAGAAGCAGTGGGGAGGCGGGGCAGGCAGGAACCATCTTAAAAGCCAGTTCCCACTAGCTCCCCGATGCCGCCTGCCCCCTCGTCCCCACGATTTGCACTGCTGCCTCTATCAGAGGCAGGAGAATGTGCTGGCAGGGGCTCCCTGTGAGTGGGGCCAGGAGTGTTGTTAGCCCTGCCTGCGGGGACTGTCGAATAGTCATGTAACCACTACGATTTCATGGAATTACACGACTATTCAATTACACAATACCTAACATCTCTAGTATTCACCAAATGGGAAATCGACGCTGCTGCAATCAATCTTCCAAAGTTTGATTTAATGGGTCTAGTTAGGGCTCGCTAAACCGAACATAAAAGGTCCCCCCATCCCTCCCCATCAGCAGCAAAGAAACTGTCAAATTATTGCTTATGAAGATACATTCTGCACTCTCTGTAGCTTGCTTGTGAAATTCCTTTGTAGAAGAATGGCTCCTTTTTAAATCCATTAATGAGTGCCCAGGCAAGTTAAAATGTTCTACAGGTTTCTGTGTATTACCATCTCTAATATTTGTTTTTCTTGGCCTAAACAAAGACTTGAACTGGCTGACATAGGAAAACTGATTTTATAATTACATTCAACACCCCATTGACATGAAAAGCTAAGTATGGAACACTTTCAGCCTGCTTCAGCCTCATTAGCACTTACAATTACAATTGACAGGACTACTTGTTTTTGAAGTTAGATTAACATAGCTACCCTTCTGAGACTTTCAAATGATGATGTAATAGTCAACACACTTTACATTGGGAATATCTGCAGAGCTAAATTCATAGCTTGCCACATAATATGAAAAATATTATGGTTGACTTCTAAAATTACTTAAACTGTATGCATGTTTCCCATCATGACATCTGCTTGCTGTTACTCTAGAAGAGAGATGAAAATGGGCAGGCATCCTCTAGGAGCAATGGCTTTGGTTATATATAGCAGTGGTTTTCAACCTGCTGAAACCTGGGGATCTGCAGATTTTATCTAGGATTTTCAAAAGGGTCCTCATCTCTGTTTGACATTTTTTAAAAGGTTGAACACCAGTGACATATAACATCAGGAAAATTGCAAAGTAGCTGGTTTTAAGCAAGTTCTGAAAGCACACTACAAACTAATTTATAAAGCTTTGTATAATGTACAGTATATTTTGTTGGATGGTACTGGAGGGAGAGAATGCTTTCTGAATTGAGACAATTTTGTTTGTCCTAATTTAGGTTTCAATGGGAAAGTGATCATCTTAAGTATATTGTAGCTACAGAACAAAACATGTAGAACTTTGAGAAAACAAACTTCTGATTAAACACTTCTCTTTGATCAGATGTACCCCATTCTGATCACAGTTCTCAGTTCACCCATAGAAGTGTACAGAGCAGTAAAACTGAATCTTTTATATTTAGGAATCAAAACTGCTTTTGTCAGGAAACATGGTGATACAGCCTTCATAGCAGCTCAGTGTGAAATGATTCCAATTGAATGGGTGTGTAGAAGAATTGCTACTGGTTCTTTCCTGAAAAGAAACCCTGGTGTCAAGGAAGGATATAAATTTTACCCACCCAAAATTGAGATGTTTTACAAGGTAAGTACAATGTGTAACTTGCTCGTAAACAAAAGAAGTTAATGTGTTTAATGGTAACTGTCTGCCTGAAATATGAATCTGGCTAATTTAGGGGTGGGCAAACTATGGGCTGCATCTGGCCCATTGTTTGGACCTCGAGGTTGGGAACTTGTCTTGCCATGCTCCCTGTGGCTCCTGGAAGCAGGGGTGGCCTGGAATTTTCTGCATGCTACCTTTGCCCCAACCGCCCCCTTAGCAGCTTCCATTGGCCAGTCACCATGGCCATTGGGAGCTGCAGAGGCAATGCCTGAATATGGACAGAGCACAGAGGCATGGAACCCCCACCTCTGCATGGGAGTCAAAAGGGAGATGGGCTGCTGCTTCTAGGAGTTGCTTTATGTCTGTGCTGCCTGGATTCTGCATCCCTGAGTCTTTCTCCAGTCCTGATCTCCCTCCTCTCCCCCTCGTGTCCTCCAAACCTTTGATCCCGGTTTGGTGTGCCAATCTGTGCCGCAAACCACTGAGCCTGATCCTAGAGCCAGCACCCCCAGCCGAAGCCTTCATTGCCTCCTGCACCCCAACTCCCAATTTTGTGAGCATTCATGGTCCTCCATACAATTTCCATATTGAGATGTGGCCTTTGGGCCAAAAAGTTTGCCCACCGTTGGGTAAATTGCTCCTATTGAAAAAATAATGAAACTGATTATACACAAAACAAGCAAAGGGGGAAAGAGATATATATCACTTTATAACAGCTATAAGTAAAACTCTTTTGACAAGTGGTATTTTAGGTTTACAAGTGTGCCATTAAACTGAAATGAAACTTTACTGATATATTTTAAGCAACTACTAATGACACCGTGTTTTGCAACATTGCAAAAATGTCTTTCATTACAAAAATATTTTCTTAGATCAGAGATTCTCCAACTAGTTCAGAAAGCTGTCTGGTTACATAATGCAATCCTCATTTCCAACATCTGAATCCCATTACAAAGCAACTAAAAATGTGTTAAGCACAATGTTTGTTAATCTTTGATGTAAACTATTGCTGTAATTGAAACAAGGGTGGGGGAGAGGCATTTGTAATCACAAATGGGGAGACAGCATGAGAGAGGAGGTGGTCCATGAGAGTCCGTAACATAGAATGTATGTTAATTGATTTTTTTTGTCTTCTTATCCTTTAGATCACTTAAGTTGTCTGTGTACTTTCACCATTAAACAAATAGAGTTCATATGTGATTTTTCATTCTTGTGTTGGCAGGGTTTGGGAGCATAGCGTAAGTGAGATGATGCAGGAAATAGGGATGTAAAATCCTGTTCAACTGCCCAAGGCAGAGGCTGCACCGGGTCGACATATGTTTTTGTTGACAAAACCTGATAGTGTAGACATACCCTAAATATACAGAGAGTTTTGCCCTAGTTCTTAATGTGGCAAGATCATAGCGGTTAAGTATATATCATGTGAGCCATCCACTAACAGAGACTTAAATATCCTTCTAGAAAGATGTGGTGTCAGCATCACCCTTTCCTTGTGATAAGATAAGGATGTATCACTCCAGGAATAGGCTACCTAAGGGGGAGATCATACTAGGAGGGCAGGAAGTAGGAAAATAAACCTAGAATGAGAAACTTCTGGTTGGACTGGAAGTGGAAGGAGTGAGGAAAAAGAATGATTTGAAGAATGCTACATATTTCAGAGCATCAACATTTAATCTTTTTTACATTGGTTTATCCTTGTTCTTGCAAGACATTGCTGGTGAAGTCCTTCTGACACATATCGTGTGTAGTTTGGGTAAATTTGCCGGTACCCCAGAAATACAGAAGATCATGGTCTATATAGAGAGAGCATTTTTTACCATCTTAATGAATAACATGGAAAAATTGGAATATCTCTGGACAGCCGGTTTTCAGGTTTCCCTGCTGAAAGGAACAAAAGCAAATTGAATTTGTTTAGAGAGTATTGGTTTCACAGTATGCTTCCTTGTAATGCTAGAGTTCTGCAGGTTGGTAGCAACATGTTGTGGGGTGGGAGATGAGAGAAATGGAGCAGAGTGATCAGTCTTAATAAGTAACTGGTCTATTCAGGAATACTCAATAGCAGAGAGATGCCAAACCAAGTAGCTGCCTTAGCGCTGGATGGTGAATGGGTAGGGAAAACTTTTCTGGGGAACTATGATCTGCTTCCTTGCATGCTGACCACTTCAGAATGGTGCTGACCTCTTCCCTCTGAGGAGAGAGCATGGCTAAAACTGAAGGAATATCCTTGTGAAAATGGGAGACTTCTCCCTCTCTTCCCCCGCTCTCCTCCTCCTCCTCCTCCACCACCACCACCACCACCACCACCACCACAGTGACCACCCTAGTGCTTCAGCAATATAAAATAGAGTTCCCTTTTGAAAGATGATAATCATACATACAACCTTTTAATAGACAAGATGTATGCACTGCGTGATCTGGCAAAAATATACCGTAATTTAGCGAATATACCTCGCGGTTTTTTCTATTTGAGTAAAAAAGAAATCTTGTATACCCCACACATGAATATAACCCGTGGGCACCCTAGTGCTTCAGCAATATAAAATAGAGTTCCCTTTTGAAAGATGATAATCATACATACAACCTTTTAATAGACAAGATGTATGCACTGCGTGATCTGGCAAAAATATACCGTAATTTAGCGAATATACCTCGCGGTTTTTTCTATTTGAGTAAAAAAGAAATCTTGTATACCCCACACATGAATATAACCCGTGGGGCATACAAGACTTTTCTGTGCTGGGGGTATATTTACGGGGGGGGATTAGCCACTCACCACCCCAGGTTCCAGCACAGCCGCCTGCCTCCGGGCAGGGGAGTGCTCATCCCACAGCTTCCTCCATAGCTGCAGAAAGGGGCGGGGGAGCAGGAACCACCAGCCTCCGGGTGGGGGAGCACTCACCGCCCAGTTCCTGTGCAGCCGCAGGAAGGGGCAGAGGGATGAGCACTCCCCCACCCCTTCCTGTGGCTGCGCAGAAACTGGGGGGCGAGCACTCCCCCACCCAGAGGCTGGCGGCTGTGCAGCCACAGGAAGAGGCAATGGAGAGCTCACCACTTGGTGAGTAAAAAAAATTCAGTATACCCCGCGCGGGGGGCGGGGTTTGTAAAAACGTATATAACCCATGGGTTATATTCGCTAAATTACAGTACTCGAAGATTGTTGCTTGCTTTCATACAGCAACTTCTGTCCACTTGGAGATTTTAAAAGTCTTTAAAAGTGAAATGACTACTTGACCTGTATTTAACATACGGGCTGCCAATAAATAAGCAGATTTTAAAATAACATTTAGCAACAGACTTGCATTGCAGCTTAGACCACCCTGGCCTGGCACCTTTGGGAACTGACCAGTCTCGAATGAAGGAGTTGGCCAGACCAGGGGAGGTCAGGGCTAGCTCCCGGCCCTGACCATTGAGCTGCTACATCCCTAGTCCAATTTTTCCCTTTAAGTGGGCCAGGCCTGGACCACCCAGGGAGTCCCCAGGCATATTGAACAAGAAATGTTGCCAGACCAGAGGTTCAATCTGTATTTAGTTAGCTACTAGCATTAAAAGTCCTCTTGGGATTTGTTAAAATTGAGCAGTCTGTAGCACTGTGGAAATAGATGTGTAGGCTAAGTGCTGGTTAGAGCTGAAAAGTGCACAGTGTTACAGCTTATTTTATTACTTTTATACTACCTACAATGGAGATAAATTAAATATAGAGCCTCCCCTTTATTAGTGTCTGGTAAAGTCTGAGTGATGTAACTAATTCTTTAGGACTTACTAGCATGTTTAGAAACATTTACTGAACTAGTTTTGTGGATTGACCTAAAAAGACTGAAAATTTTGTCTTAAACTTGCCTCTCTGATGCACCTTCCAGTCTTAGCCAATGTCTGCACTACCACAGAAAGTCAACCTAAGGTGCACAACTCCAGCTATGTCAATAATATAGTTGGAGTCAACATACCTTAGATCAGTGGTCTCCAACCGTTTTTAAGCACAAGATCACTTTTTGAATTTAAGTGCCATCCAAGATCTACCTCAAACCCAAATACCCTTGCCCCACCTCCTTTGTGCCCCTTCCTCAAGGTCCCTGCTCACTCCATCCTTCCTCTCTCCCTTACTTTCACCAGGCTGGGGAAGCAGGTTGGGGTGCAGGCTCTGGTTTTGGATTAAGGGATCTGGAGTGTGAGAGGGGCTCTGAACTGAGCCTGGGGCAGGCAGTTGGAATGCCAGAGGGGGTTCAAGGTGCAGGCTTGGGAGGGTGTTTGGATGCAGGGGTGCTTGGGGCTAGGGCTTGGGGTGTAGGAGGGCGTTCATGACTAGGGTAGGGTTTTGGGATGTGGTGACAGCACTGCTTACCTCAGGTGGCTCCTGGGTGGTGATGCAGTGGGGCTAAAGCAGGTTCACTCCTGCCCTGGCCCTGCACCACTCCCAAAAGCAACCAGCAAACTCCATCCCAAATCCTGCTGTGCCCCCTCTCTGCTCTGTGGACATAGGATACAAAGTGGGAGGGGCAGTACCTTGAAATCAGGGGCTCCTGAGGGGACAGCTCCAAGGCAGAGGGCAGGAGATGTGCAGCAGTCTGGGGGGTGGGAAGAGAAAGGGAGGACAACTGAAGTGCTGGGTTTGATAACCTCTTGGACAAACCTATTGGGATCATCTGTCAGAGGCTCCAAGATCTACCAGTACATCCCGATCTACTGGTTGGTCACCACTGCCTTAGACTGAGTTGCCGTGGAGTCTCTGCTGTGGGGGGAAGGAGGATTGACAAAATAAACTCATGTACTTACCTTACTCTTCTTCTGTGTGGGGGGGGGGGATAAAGTACAGGGTTCGACCGCAAAGTGATCAGCAGTCAATTTGGTGGGTCTTGACTTGGTCCACTAAATTGACTGCCTATGTATCGATCTCAGAGCCTTAATCCACACTGTAGAGGGTAATGTGCAAGTGAACTATACTTTTTGAAGTTATAGTAAAAGTCTTATTGTTGGATTTTCAGGATGATGCTGCAAATGATCCACAGTGGTCTGAGGAGCAACTAATTGAAGCCAAGTTCTGCTTTGCTGGACTTACTATTGGCCAAACTGAAGTAGATATTATGGCCCACTCTACACAGGCTATTTTTGAGATACTGGAAAAATCTTGGTTACCACAGAACTGCACTCTTGTAGACATGAAGGTATTAGAAAATATCTGTCTTGTAGATCATGGTTCTGAAAGTAGTGGAATAAGTTTTTGATGCTACTTTACAGCTCTTCAAAACTGCTCTCATTTAATTTTGCTAGATTGAGTTTGGTGTTAATATAACGACAAAAGAGATTGTCCTTGCTGATGTTATTGATAATGATTCTTGGAGACTGTGGCCATCAGGAGACAGAAGCCAGCAGAAAGACAAACAGGTAATATTACCATTTTGGGACTGAATTAGAGATAAAAACAAAACTATATCTCATTTTGTTGGGGGATGGAAGGTGGAAAACAGCATGTAAGCAGTCTGTGCTTATGCAAACTAGGCCACATAGACTTGGTCTGATCCTGTTAAAGTTAGTTGCAAAATTCCCATTGACTTAAATGGCAACAGAATCAAGTCCTTAAGGATTCCTGTATTGTTAACCGGAATTCCCACAATATTTTCTGGTGCAATGATAGAGCCCTCTGTACTGTTAAATCTGCAGTGCTCTCCAGAACTTCCAAGTTGCTCATTTTGGAGTATTTGGATTTGCTGGGGTCAAAGTTTCTGCTGTCTTAACTCAGTTTAACTGATAACCAACACTGATGTAATTGCTTAGCTGGAGCAGTAGCTCACTACAAGAGCACTGCTACCCCTGGGGATTACAGAGATCCTGCAGGGGATACAGCAGCTCACCTAGATATTTGCCTAGTTTCACAACAGGGTATATAAAAACACTAGTGACGTCAGTATGAACTAAACTTTTATATCAACCAATGACTTGTTTATACTGAAATGTAAGTACAGTACTGGTATTGCAATTGATTTATAATTGTGTGGTAACTGTAGCTGCATTGAATGTTGCTTTTGTGAAACTTTTGTGATTTTTAGTCATGTCCAACATGGGAGTGGCCTCCCTAGTGTGCGCAAGCTGCCATAACATATGCCCACGATAATCCATGAGTAAGATAGCAGTGTTCTAGTGCCATTACCAACAAAGTTCAATTAGACCTGCTTCTTTTAAAAACTGAATTACATAAAAAATGAATGGTGTTTCTTTGTCACTTATGTTAGGTGTTATACAACAAAATGCATCTGAGCAAATCCCTGGTATGGTGTTAATCCACCACTAGTATAACTTTGTTTCTTTTGTTAGATGTTGGCAGTGCTCTGCTTCCAAATGAAAATTTACATGCCAAAGCAGCATGGTTTGTAATTTGCAAAGAAGCCTCCAACTAATTGGTTGGGCATGAGATGCCTGGCTAACACATCATGGCTGAGGCAGCCAAGCACAAAAGTTGTTTTCTCTCAGAAAGGAATTGACTGAAGTTGGGGGTGATAGTCTACTATAAAATGATGGAAAAAATTGCTTGCTGGAGCTAATGGCTCAATTTGAAATGTGGGGATTCCCCTGGTATCATGTTGGAAGTCTTGGAAGAATCTATTATAGAAAGAACATATATTCCAAGAAACAGGTGTTGGAAAGATGGCATAAAATTTTGTAGCCTCTAGTAGTTGGAAGGTTTTAGTTGCATCTTGTTAACTATATAAGTATCAAAATGATTGACCATCACACTTCCAAATAGAATATCATGTATAATTTGCTATCTGTGTATTTCAGTCTTACCGTGATCTAAAAGAAGTGACTCCTGAAGCACTGCAGATGGTTAAAAGAAACTTTGAATGGGTTGCAGAAAGAGTGGAGGTACTCTTTGTTAGTTAATTGTAGTCTGTGTAGAACTTGACAATATCTTCTGTACTCTGTTAAAGAATTGTGGTTCATTTTTCTTTCTTTCTTTCCACTTCAGTTGCTTCTGAAAACAAAGAGCCACGGTAGAGTTGTGGTGTTGATGGGATCATCCTCTGATCTTGGCCACTGTGAAAAAATAAAAAAGGCATGTGCAAATTTTGGAATTCCTTGTGAGTTACGAGTAACATCTGCTCACAAAGGACCAGATGAAACTCTGAGGATCAAGTCAGAGTATGAAGGTAAACCATCTGATATAGTAGGTTTTACCCATGAAAGCTCATGGCTCTATATATTTTTGTTCATCTCTAACGTGCCACTGGACTACTTGTTTTTAAAGTTACAGACTAACGTAGCTACCTTTCTGAGATCTGAATAGTCATGTTAAGTTTAGAACCAATAACTAGAGTTCTTCAAATTCCTAAGAACTTTGCCACAAAGGGTACGTCTAGACTACATGCCTCTGGCGACAGAGGCATGTAGATTAGACTACCCGGCATAGGAAAATGAAGCGGCGATGATTATGCATCATCTTGGGATGAGGCTTACCTGGGAGGTCGACAAATGCCTTTGATGTCTACCGCGGAGCGTGCAGACTACCGCGCTGAGCCGACAAACAGCTGATCGGCTCAGCACGGCAGCCATGTAAATTTAAATGAAGCGGCGATTATTTAAATCGCCGCTTCATTTTCCTATGCCGGGTAGTCTAATCTACATGCCTCCGTCGCCAGAGGCATGTAGTCTAGACCAGGGGTGTCCAAACTTTTTTCAAAGAGGGTCAGATTTGATGAAGTGAACATGCGTGAGGGCCGACCATTTTGCCTGACATTCTTTGAACCATTAAAATTAAATGCAAATTAACTATTTTATGCAAAGTTTATTGCAAACGGCATACTTTTCATTTCGTCACATGGATGACAAATCTAAACAGGTGTTAAATCACTCTGCCTTTCATATCTGAAGGCCAGATGAAAAAAAAAAAATCCAGGAAGCTGAAATATGTGTCAGGAACATTGTAAAGTACATTACATATTATTGGTAATAAAGGTTGTCTGTCAACTTTTAAGTTCAAAAAATATGAACAGGAACATAACACCAAGTATACATGTTGTGTCCAAATATATTTATAACTGATTTAGACCAACTGACATTAACTGAGATTTTACAATGTATTCATCTCAATACATATGGATTCGTTGGGGGTCATAAAAGATAGATATTGCCAAATTACCTGTGGGGCCGTATTAAACCGGAACACGGGCCGCAATTGGCCCACGGGCCGGACTTTGGACATGCCTGGTCTAGACGTACCCAAACTGCACAAAAATCCTCTCCTTTTTATAACCATCTCTTATGTATCTGAAGATTTACCATGTCTACCCTCAATCTTTGGCAGATTAAACAAACTTATTTTTCTAATCTTTCCATAGGTCATGTTTTTTTAGACCTTAACCATTTTTGTTGTTTTCCCCTAGATTTTTTCCAATTTGTGGTGCATAGAACTAGTGTTGAAATTCAGATAATTATCAGTGCTGAGTAGAATGGAAGAATTAATACTTTTTGTCTTCCTTACAATACTTCTGCTAACATATCCCAGAATGGGGGAGTGGTGTCTTTTGCAGCAGTATTACATACTTGTTTAGTTTATAATCCATGGTCATACTCAGATCCTTTTCTTTATAACTCCTTTCTAGGCAGTCATTTCCCATTTTGTATTTCTGATTATTCCTTCCTAAGTGAGGTGAATTGGAAAATACTATTTCTTTTGCTTGTCATTTTTTCAGTGCACATATTCAGTGAAAAATAGTAATATAAAGTGAGCACTGTACACTTTGTATTTTGTAATAGAAATTAATATATTAGAAAATATTGAAAAGCATCTGAATATTTTAATACATTTCAATTGGTATTCTATTTAACAGTGCAATTAATCCTGAGTGTGTTTAGTTAATCCCATCAGTTGATAGTGATAAATCTACAGCCCTAATATTGATTAATTCTGTTGCAACAGGACAAAGTTTTCAACTGGTAAAGAATCCAGTGATTCAGCAGTTCCATTAAGAAATGGCCAGTATCCACCATTATCATTAATCTTGAAGGTTTTCTTCCCCTGCATAAGATAGGGACTAGGTGGGTGAGTTGCCCCTGGTATGCTACTTCTATAAATGGTGTACCAACAGCTATGATGTACTGTTACTGAATTATGGGGAATTACAATACTGTATTCCATACAGAGACATGAATGGCAGTAAAACTAAACTGACTGATCAAAAGAATAAAAAAAGTCTGTGTTTGTGTGTGAGAGAGAGCACATAAATACAGAGCTTTTCAATGAAAATGGTGGGTGGAAGGAAGAATGCATTGTGCTTCTTCCCCCCCCCTCTGTTTTTGATAGTTATTGTTCTTGTTTGTTATAGGTGATGGAATCCCTACTGTGTTTGTGGCAGTAGCTGGCAGAAGCAATGGCTTGGGACCAGTGCTGTCTGGTAACACTTCATATCCAGTTGTCAACTGTCCTCCTCTCTCAGCTGATTGGGGTGCTCAGGATGTATGGTCTTCTCTTAGACTGCCCAGTGGTGAGCAGAATTATGTTGACCTAGGGGATGTGTAGTTACAGTCCTGTAGTAATTAGACTTTTTTAATATTGGTCACATCTGCCAAATTCAACAATGCCTTTGTTCATTTATATTTTGTCAGTTCTGTCAGTACTGCAGAGGGTTTGGAGAGGTAAATGTTTTGACTGTAATCATTAAAATTTCAGTTTTCCTGGCATAGATGGAGAAAAGAGCCTTAGAAAGATATGGGGGGGAGGGGACTTAACTTCCATTGTATTCTTACTTAGATGATTGAAGTTTAAAATGGTACTGAAATTGATGACATCTTTAAAAATATCAGCTTGAGAATTATTTTCATGTTTAACTTCATTACACTGTTTTAGTATGAGTCAATATACCAACTTCTATAAAAGTGAAAGACCCTTGGTGTGATGCTTTAATGTAGACAGAATTCCGTTGCTGTTAAACTGATTCAGTTCTGGGATGCATGTAGCTTGAATTTAAAAACTTCATTTTTATAGACATGGAACAATTCTCCATATGTCTGTTTGAAGGTATATGCTGATTTATTGTTGCAAAATTGTAGCAACATTTGAATGAAAGAGGCTAAACCATATGTATTGGGTGGTGTGTTTTGTTTTATCAAAAGCTAGGGGATTCTACATTCTTCAAATATGAGGTGAGGTTTGGGGCATGTTGATCATGTCAGTTGAAAATGAGCAATCTTGTCTTCCTCTAGGAATAGAGGAATAAGGTTTATCTTTAGGATTATTGAGGTAATATTGTTTCTCTCTTTTACAAATTAGAGTGGACAAAGTAAGTAAAATTAAAAAATCCTTTACTATAACCTTCAGGGCCTGAAAAATTACTTGCTAATAATTATAATAGTAAATCCTGTTTTGATAAGATTGGATTTTTTTCTTCTCCAACAGGTCTAGGCTGTCCTACTATACTCTCACCCGAAGGAGCTGCACAGTTTGCTGCTCAGATTTTTGGATTAAGTAACCACTTGGTGTGGGCCAAGCTGCGTGCAAGCACATTGAATACGTGGATCTCCTTGAAGCAGGCTGACAAAAAGCTTAGAGAATGCACCTTATAAATAACTTGTTAAAAGGAAAGTAATGCATACATTACATTGGTCTCTCAAAAAATAGAGGCATGTGCAAACTGTCTTCATGTGGATCAGTTGGAAATTTTAAACCCTTTGTTATACAAGAGGTTATGCCTTGTCAGTATGGTAGATGATAGTATTTACAATTGGTTTCATTTTGTCTTTTTAAATAAATGAAAGCATACAGGATAGTTATTCTTTGACTCACTTGAAATTTTGTGGTGGTCTGCTTTAGTCCTTGTATACTGCATTAGCTATAGACTGCATAATATCAAAATGCAGATTTAGTGCAGTCTGCACTGGAATTAATCACTGTTTTCCCTAGCAGCTGTGCTATGGAATGTGTTATTGGTGCATCTTGGATTTCATAGTTCAACTGGAGTGCTAATCCAAAATAGAACATCTTTATGCTGTTCAACTTGCAATTATGAATATATGCTCCTTAAGCAATAACAAAGCTGTAGATTTGCAAACCTAACTAGAAGACAGTTCTAGAATGGACTCGGATATCCAGCTTTCCGACTGGAGGTTGTAAAAATGTCTGGCTTTTTTTCCATACACATCACAAGATAGGATGGATGTTGGCTGATTTCAGTATTTCCTGAAGCAATGTCCTCATGTTAACATGTTCCTTATACAACAGCAGATGAATAACTCATAGTAATCATGTGTTCAAAGTTGACTTGTAAGCCTTTTGTCCTCTGTTCAAGTAAAAGTGCTTTTCATTTCATTAGTTATGCTTTAAAGAGCCTCTGATAATCTCAAATAGACTTAATTTTCTAAAAATTTTGGTGGGTATGTATCTTTCTTTTATAGGGAGAAGTTGCTAATGAAACTTTTCATAAACTCACTGAAGGTAGAAATACTTATGAGATCTGAGCATGATTGTGCTTCACACTTTGTTCTTAACTAAGTTAACTTTATTACAATACTGATTCTAAGGAACATGCAATTTCCCAACTTATGTATTTGCTTTTAAAATGACAAATTGCTAAGTTCAAATTTCCTTTCTGCAGAAGTTTCTCTATATTCATGCTGTCTAGTTTAGTGTCAGCCATAACACGCTAAACTTAATGGCTATGCTAAAGAACTTTATAGCTACATGCATACAGCACTACTAACATGCAACCACCTTTTGCAAAGGGTAGTATCAGGCAGTGCACCATTGCTGGTGGAGGAGAGGGAACTTCAACTAGAGGTAAAAGAACCAAGCCCCTGTGCTTCCACATAGTCCCATGTGTGATTTCATTGTCACATTGAGTTGGACCATAAAATCTTGCTTACTTGAAAAACTAGTACATGACAGTTGATAATTTATGTACCTTGGCAAGAATAAAGAACTCAGTTAATCCTGCTGGAATTTGAACATCTGCTCCCATAGGCTAGGTCTACATTGTGCTTTCTTGCACAACATATGCAAATGAGGTGATGAATATTGCTGTACCTCATTTGCATACTTAAGCTGCCATTTTTGTGCAAAAGCCCCTTGTGCAAAAATAGTGGCTCATTAAGTATGCAAATGAGGGGATTTTCATCATAATGCCTCATTTCCATGTTCTTGCACAAGAGAGCACAACGTAGACATAGTCAGTTTAAGAAGTGGTTTGTTACATAGAATTGACAGGAAATGTTTGGTATTCCAAAGGCTTGTGGTGATAGTGATCATCCATTAAGATACAGTAATAGAGAGCATTGACCATGCCATATGGCATGAGATAAGACCTGAAACAAAGATAGGGAGTCAGGCCATGTATTATGCACACACTTATAAGTTCACTTTCTGGCATTTGAACTTGGCAAGAGTACTGCTAGGTGTATGTTTGAACACATTCCAAAAGCTTAGCACAGGTACATCTTCAGAGAGCACAAAGAAGGTGACGTGATAATCACAGATTTTTTCCAGAGCCATCAGGAGCAAGGGGGTGTAACAATCAACTGTTAGAAAACATGTAAGGTGGCTTGTAAGTTTTGCACTTGAGCACATACTTATTTTTGTACTGGCACTTCTGAAGCCTTTGAAAAACTGGATTATTGCCATTATATTTGTTACTGGATTATCACCATTATTGGAAACAATCTTTTGCCTGTCAGATGGGCATACTGTGGAACTATGCATCCCTTTAGGCACCACTGGTTTGATTTTCTGATTATTTGGACCATTCTGTCTTCACCTAGAAAATTGATTGTAAATAGCTCCTTTCAGAAGTCTTGAACTAGCATGTCCTTGATAGCTTGTCTTCTGGTTGAGGATGAAAGACTGTGTGCAGCTTCCTGAATAGGTCAGGGTTCTGAAAGATGTGTGCATCATGCACCTTTCCAGAGCTGCCAGTGTTAATGTCAGTAACATGCCTAGGGTAATCCATGAGCACTTGGAGATCCATGGCAAATGCACTACTTGGAGGCTAGATAGTCTAGTGCAAAAATAGGAATATGTATGTCATCTTCCACAGTTCAGGAAATATCTGTGCAAAGCTATCAATTAAATGCATATAGCCAAGTCACAGCCTTTCAGAGCAGGATGCTATTGATGGCTCTACAAACTTCCATCAACATGAGTTCAGTTCAACCATCTACCTTCCCCCTCCAAACAGAATGGCAATCAATTAGAAGCCATCTGGAGTAGCCAGCCTCCACCGTGCAATTGCCAAATGTTTCTCACCTGGAAGAATAGTGCTCATTGTCATATATTTGAATTATAGGATGGAAGCAAGTTCCTTACACTGTCACAAAAGTGGCTTCTCATCCAAAAGTTATGTAGCTGCTGTGTCATCCCAAGCTTGCAAGAGGATGTGATCCCTACCACTCAGGGCTTGTTTCCCAAGCCTAAAACCATTACTTCATTGTGGTCAGCAGCTCTGTGAATGCCATAAGAAACCTTGTCATATTTGAGGAGTCTTAAGCTTACAATCTGACTCAGCACTTTGCAGCTTAAGGAGTAACTCTTCCCTTTCATGATGTATTAATGAGACCAATCAGCATTTTCTTCAACAGTTTAAGATCTCTTCCCACAGCATATGTAGCACAAAAGCTGTTGAAAAATGGCACTAAATGAAGACAAACACAGAGGCTCCTGGGAGGTACCAGGGGGCATTGGGACTAGACCCAAGCTGTCTCACATCCATCCCCCAATCTTCCCAAAGCCTCATGTAAGAAATGCTCTGTAGGATAGCTGCCCACAACACATCACTGAATGCTATTGTTTCAAGTGTGGTCACATTACTCTTTTGGCAGCTGATAGTGTGGATACACAAGCAGGTTCACTGTTTTACTATAAACAGTGCTGTAACTGACACTGCTTTAAATCTGCCATGTAGAATAGTGATAGAAATGTAGCCTTGTTAGTCTGGGGTAGCTGAAGCAAAATGCAGGACAATGTAGCACTTTAAAGACTAACAAGATGGTTTATTAGATGATGAGCTTTCATGGGCCAGCCCCACTTCCTCAGATCAAATAGTGGAAGAAAATAGTCACAACCATAAATATACACCAAAGATATATACCATGTATCCTTTGGTATATATGGTTGTGACTATTTTCTTCCACTATTTGATCTGAGGAAGTGGGTCTGGCCCACGAAAGCTCATCTAATAAACCATCTTGTTAGTCTTTAAAGTGCTACATTGTCCTGCATTTTGCTTAAATCTGCCACCTAACAAAACCTCATTTCTGCTTGTTTCCCTGACAGCGATCACTGACAACTCATCTCTTCCTAAGAGAATCATGTCATTTAATTGTTTAGTTTTCTTTTGGTCTAGTAAGACCCAGTTTTGGCAAAACAAAGGCTGCAGCTGGTTGGGGAATAATAAGGGAACAGCTTGCCTCTTTTCAAGTGTGTGTTTGAGTGTTCCTATCAGGGAAGTAGTTGTATCTTTCATTCACAGCTCCTACTAAGATAATAAATTTAAACACTATCTTCACTATAAGCTAGGTCAATAAGGTAACATGAAATTCTAGTAACTCAATAGAAAGTAACATCCCCTCAATGACTGTCACCTATAATATTCATAAAATTGTTCAATATTTACAACATTGTACACCCTTGTCAGTATGAATATAAAAAGGAGGAATTCAGCTTGGTACAGTAAAACTCCAATAGTCCAGCATCCGATTGTACAGCACTCCCAATAGTCTGGCATCAAAATGGCAAAGAGCCTAGCAAGTGAGCTTTGGCCAAAAAATGAGTCACAAGGTGCCAGCAGCTGAACCGAGTGAAAAGGGTAAAGAAGGGTTAAAAACCTAAAACATTACAGTATACTGTATACAGTATGTACAATAAAAGGTTAAAAACACTTTATATAGTATATATTGTATACAGTATAACCAGTTTATATTACCTCCTGGTACTCCGGCATTTGATAATCCAGCAACACCTAGGTCACAAAAGTTCCAGATTATCAGAAGTCTACTGTAAAAGGAATAGCTAGCAACAACAAAAAGACTGTTTAAGGTAAATAACAAAAGTTCTGATCAATATGTTTTGCAGTCCACTATATACAAGTACCTTGTCCAAGATACACAAAGACCATCCTATTCCTGAAGGCATTTAAAACTGCACAGAAAAAAGTATTAGGAGACATAAAAGAGCAGTTTCATATGTAGGGGAAACTCATTTTTCACTAATTGTATGGACCACCATTCTTAGACTAATAACTGCCTTCCATATCATGTCCCTGTGACAATGATAGTTATTGCTTATGTGGAATAGTAATATTAGGAAAGTAATGAACTCTAATGCACAGTGTTTTTCTGTTTTAGGGGCATATTGATACTATTAATTTTCTCCCTTTAATCAATCACCTTTTTCTCCTACAGATGGATAGCAGCTCCAAAACCAGGAGACAGATCCTGTTTCCTCTCAGTGACCTTTAAGCCAGGCAGTTAGGTTTGCTCCTCATTTTTCAATTCTGATAGGCCTCCAAGGTTCCCATTTGAAATGAATAGCCTGGAAGCTATAAAAGCAGCAGAAAGTGTGTGATTAGCCAGTTCTTCAGCCCGCTAGAAAGTACTCACTTTCGAAACTGCTGGCTCAAACCTCATTCTCTCTCATCTCTACTTTATCTCAGAGTGGAAGAGGGTGTGTGTGGGGTAGATGAACTAAACAAAAGCCCTAAAAATGCTTCTCTAAGGTTCCAACTAGTTTGGATAGGACTAATATGATGAAACCTTGCAGTTGGTCAAGTACTAACTTCACATGAAGAATATTTGCCACTTAACACACAGGGATGGTACTTGGTCCTGCTGTGAGGGCAGGGGACTAGCCTCGATGACCTCTCAAGGTCCCTTCCAGTTCTACGAGATATATCTATCTTCCCTATTAAAAAAAAATTACTAAGGAAGACTAGTGGCTATAAAATCAGAGTTGCTAAGATATTGTCATAAGCTTCAGAGAGGTAGCCGAGTTAGTCTAACAGGAAAAACAAAGTCTAGTAGCCCCTTAAAGACTAACAAAACATGTAGATGGTATCATGAGCAACAGCGGTAACAAGAGGTTAAGTGGAGGTGACATGAGCAATAAGGAAGGGAGAACCTAGTCTGACTAAAGCCTTTAAAGCAGAGTATTAAGAAATTAACTAAAAAAAAAAAATTCCCTTCCCGTATTACTTAATTTAAAAAGTGGCATTTTCAACAGATAAAAATTAAAGATCATCAAGTTGTATTGACAAGGCTCTGGGAATACGCAAGTCACATGAATTTTATGTGCCTCTAACATCTGAAGAAGCCTAAGGGTAGATGTCAGAGCAAGGGAAATCTTAAAATGTAAAACTCAACTTCTTTAATTCTTAAGAATGTCCAACATTAAATATGGTGACAATTTAAAATAAGGAGGGACTGAGAAAACAAGACAGTCTAGGAACCAGTGAGGTCTTACCAGAATAATTTGACTAACAGAACGGGAACTTAAAAAAAAAAAAAAAACCCCACCTTAAACGAGTGGACCTGTAGCACAAGACTACAGGCTTTTGTCGACAGTATCTGTCGACAAAGAGCATCTAGACTACATTCAGTTCTGTCGACAAAGCAAGCTGCTTTGTTGACATGGCAGTGTATACGCAAAGGACAGTTTAGATGCAATAATGCTTTCTGTTGACAGACATTATGTCGACAGAATTCAGCGGTAGGTTTAGTTTTGTCGACAAAAGTCCACTTTTGTCAACAAAACCCTGTAGTTTAGACACACCCTTAGAGACTAACTAGAGGACCACATTTTTTTTTTTTTTTTTTTAAGTCACTGACAAACACAGCAACCCCTCTAAGAATAGGAACTGATGACAGGAAATCAATGTGCATACCACAATCATGTCCAAGATGTGCTTGCAACCCTGATCTAGGTTAACATGCTTCTTGCTTTGTGTTAGATGCCCTCAAACGGAAATGTACGAAAACATTTTTATAAAACTAACATTTAGTTGTTACAAAATATTGCAAACGTAGTGCAAACGTAGCTTTTCTTGAAAATTCAATATATTAGCAAAAGCAAGATTTGTAAGAAATATTTTACAAATTATTTACATACAAGAAAGCTAACATGTCAGACACAAATATGCAACAAACAGATAATTACAAAAGTGGGCTCTACCAGTAACATGAATAAGGCATAGAGGCACCAAAAATGAATAAACATTTTAAAAATCAGTCTAAGCTTGTCTCTTCAAAAAAAGTCTCAATGCACAGTTCTTAGTACATTATACTAAAGCTTTTTTTGTTAGAAGCTCTATAAACTACTGAAGTGCCCAGAAGAACCACCAGTCAGAAAAGCCCAATAAAATTTTAACTGGTACTAAATTTGTTTTCAATTTTCCCTTTAAAACATGCAGTTATAGGTATATAAGCCATATTCACAGTTTAATTATCTTTGACAGAAGTACCATATTCATCTTTTTTTGCAATTGTTCCTTAAAACTCTCTAATTTCATCATATAATACATCACTTGTTCTATGATTCAAATAAGATAATTAAGAATCTGTGCCATACTCAAGACAGTTTTACAATAGCAACATTCAGTATTTCAAATATTTGTGCAAATAGCAAAAGGACAGTTGTATCTGAGGCAAGTTCTTATTCGCAACAAAATGCATCCTTAATGCTGTAAACTTGGACTGTCAGCCTTAAGCCTTGCATTTCTCACAGCTTTAAAAGTCAGTGGTGATAAATTCTAAAGCCTTAGCATGACACACGCTCTCATACATAGTGCAAATTGTGTAGATTTTTTCCACTGATTCTGTGCCTGGATTGGTATTTGCATGCGCAACTTTAGTGGCCTATCCTAGTTGTAGACGGTGCCCATTAGAAGAACCAGATAATTCTGGAAGTTGGTGGGGAACTCAGGAGAAAAGGGAAGCAGTTTCATCGCACTTTTCAAATCAGCACAAGATGTGCAAAGGCAGCAAAAACTCCAGCTGAGATTACAACCAGAACAAAGTAACTCTTCAGGAAGATCCAGGCAGTTAGTCACTTGGATTGGTCTCTAGAAAAATATGTGAGTATATGTTGGATTTTGATTAGGCGTTCTTTCAAAGACATCATTGAGAGAACTGAGAGCTGATACTTGGGGTCTACCGGGAGGACAGCTAGAAGCCACCAACACCAAGCTGGCCCATTAGGTGGTGCCTAAAATTAAAATGAAATGGATTATTAAAAAAATAACAATTTAACCCAAAATGAATAATATGCTTTTTTGTCCTTTACATGTGTGTTTTGTGTTTTACACTGTGGAACTAATTCAATCTCAGATGCAGAACACAACAATGGCATAAAACATTGGGGTTTAACATAAATAAGTACTCTCCATGCCCCCGTAAGAACAGGGCCTGAAACAAAAGCCCATGTAGCAAAGGCCTGGTTTGAGGCCTGAGGCCTAGCTAACAGTGGACAAAATTTGGCTAATAAAAAGCAAAGCTAAGCTGGGGACTCCCCAGTTGATCCCAGGCTCCACATGCATTTCAGCACAACCCAGGATCAGCTGGGGACTCCCCAGTTGACTCTGGTTCCACACGGCATTTTCCCGGAATCCAGGGTCAGCTAGGGACTCCCCAGCTGATCCAAGGTTCCGCAGAAATGCCACACAGCTGATCCCTGACTGAGCTGTGCGGCGGCTGTCTCTTTGAAGCACCCAGTCTTCCCCCCACCCTTGCTGCCTCTGATAGGGGTACCGGGGGCGGGGTGTGTGTGTGAAGGAATCGACTAGTTGACTATCTGATAAGCTTATCGGATAGTGGACTAGTCCTTAACATCCCTAGCTGGCACTGTAATCTTGGGGGTGGGAGTTGAGGCTAGTGCTCCAGGCCGGTGATGGCAGCAGTTCCCCGCAGGGTCCCGAAGTGTCGGGGTCCCAGAGTATAGCGAAGAGCAGCTGCCACCACCCTCTGTGTCAGCCCCGGCCCTCCTCCAGCAGCCAGAGGGGGCCGAGGGACTACAAGGGGGGCCATGAGAGGCCAGTGCTAGCTGTGGCCCCAGCGGGGGAAGGGGCAGAAGAGAAGGGGAGGGCCCCGGCCCTCCCCAGCAGCCAGGGCTGTGTACCCCAAGGGACAGGAGTTTGGCAAGCATAGTGAGCAGGGGCACTGCCCCCTTCGTGTGTGCAGCACATACAGTATTATTTACTTCTAGCTGAAAACTTATTGTATATCAAGTAGTCAAAATTAGTCTTGCAGAAGTTTTGGCTGAAAAGTATGAGTACTAATGCACAAGATATAGCCATCAGTGTTTGAAGAATTAATGCAGATTGTGTGTTCTTGTCTTCAGAAGGAAATACTATCAATATAAATGCAGCATAGAAGAAACTTACAAATAAAAAAGATAATTTAACATACTTGGCTAAATGAAGCTGTTTTTTTAAAGGAAAAGTTTTTTAAAGTAATGAATGAGCAACTGGTGCTAGAAATCTTAGCTCACCTGTAGATTTTCCTCTCTCTCTGGCATTGGCCCAAAGTGCTGAAGGATCTGGCTGCGAAATTTGTTTCTCAAGCTTTGGAACCAGCTACAGGCCTGATTGTATACCAAATCATGTAGCCCTCTCAGTTTCTTCAGCTCTTCTTCATCTGCAACCTATGATAGAACACTAGAGTAAGCCTACACCTACACACACCTACACACACACACACACACACACACACACACACACACACACACTGATAAACAGTTTAACACATTCCATTTCAACTATTAACAATCAGTAAGCCTTGGCATTCATCCAAGCCTTGAGGGGTGATGGTGGAAAGGAGAAGAAAAAAAAAAATCTTGTGGTACAGGTATTCCTCACTTCAAATCAAGAATTTCTCGTGACAATCAATACTTTGGCGTGTTTTATAGTTATGATGAATAGATTGTAGCTGTCCAAAAAATGTCATTACACCTTATTTAATTAGAAAAATTAGTTATTGGCTATGAAGCCATTAAAAGTAATTTTTATAGCATGCAAGTTGATAGAATTCTCTTTTAGTATTGATTTTGGGAAAAGCACAATTCTATCTCAACACAGCTAGAAACAACATTAGCCATTTATTTCTATTTTTCTTCAGTATGAGAGAACCCGGTCTCCCAGCAATTGCTCTGACACCCCAACCATTTGAAGCTGAATCTTTATGAACAAATGGTATAAAACTAAGGGTTAGTGCTCAGAGAGAGTTATAGATACCTTAATATCTTCCAAATATTGAATGTCTGCAGTACAATAGCCATCTTTCATCCCTCTCTGTAAAACTCTAAATCTCTTTCCACCAACCGTGTCAACAACAGACCGGCCATCAGGTAGGAAATGAATATTCCTAATATGCAGCATACAACCATAATCTGCAAAACTAGAACCAGAAGCAGTGTCAGCAATGCTAAGTTCACATTTCTACAACGGGGAGGAGGCAGAAAAATCAGGATAACATTAGTGTAGAACTCTTAGCTGCATCAAAGCATCAGAATTGTATGCTTACTTGTTTTGAAGATCACTGATACACATCCCAAATTGTTTAGTCCCAGTTTCCATACTTCTGCGAATCATCAGTCGGTATCTTGGCTCAAACACATGAAGAGGGCAAGGCACAGTGGGGTATGCCATAGTGCAAACAAACATTGGAACATTCTTGGTCAAGCTAAGGACAAATACAAAACAAATTAAATACACATTTAAAAAATCTAACCACAAGACTATATGCCATGATTAACAGCAAAATTGCTGAAATACATATATTTTGGCAAAGGCAATTAAAAAAAATAAAAAGTGTCACTTGATTTTCATTATACCTGAAGTCATAAATTCCTGGCAGGGTGAATGTTTATTGCTCTTTAAACATTGAAGAGAACATCACAAAAATCTATTATAGACAGTAATTTTATTCTGATCAAATATGTATAGCCACAAACATTTTCAATATATCATTGCAAGAACACTTATTCTGTGACATGCACCAATCTATGAAAGTTTTTCCTAAATTACGGGATAGTTTCTCTAGCTGCAGATACTGCAATTCATCACTGAATTACTTCCAGAGATGGACCCAAAAAAAGGAGTGCAATACAATTTAAAATTTGCTTGGGTACTACATAACTGCTTGCTACTACATGAGTCAACTCAGGGTATGTCTACACATCAAAGTTATTTCAAAATAACAGCTGTCCTAGCATCTATGCAAGCCACCCGCTATTTTGAAATTGGTAAACCTAATTCAACGAGGAATAACACCAATTTCGAAACAGCTATTTCGAAATAAGTGCTGTGTAGACACTTATTTCGAAATAGGGGGCCTCCAGCCCTTCCCAGGGCGCCCTGGTGGCCACTCTGGCCTCAACCAAGAGCACTCCTCTTGCTTCCCTACTTCCCAGAACTCTAGTCTGTGGGGTTAGGACTTGTGGATGAGGGGTAGCACATGGAGCTATTGCTGTACATGCCAGCTGTGTTTGGTGCTGGGGTGGGGCTGCCTTTCCAGCAGTCACTGCCCCAACCCAGTGGCACCCACCCCTTCACCATTCCCCAGTCTTCCAGCTCCCAGGAGCCTGCCAGGGCCCAGAGAAGACAGGCACCTTCCTGGTCCAGGGCAGAGATCGTGGACCTTATTCAGGCTGGGGAAAGGAAGTGGGGGAGGATTCCCCCAACTTCCATGATCTGCGCACTAGATGGGGGAGAACAGCCATCTATGGCAGGCTAGCTGCCAGCCTGGCCACCAAAGGCCACATGCAAAACCAGGAGCAGGTTCGCATGAAAATCAAGTTGGTCCAGCCAGATCCCCCCAACCCTGAGCTTCCCCTCCCCGTTCTTCCCCTTGCTTCCCCCTTCCAGCTCCCTCCTCCCAGGTTTCCTCCTCCCCTCTCCCACCTCCTTTCCCCAGTCTTACCAGAGTTTCAATCTCTCTCTTCCCCTCCCCTCCTCCCCGTTTTGTTAAATAAAGAATTTGTGTTCATGAAAATACGTGTATCCTATATTACCCCTCCCTAGCCCCCCTTCCTGATATAAGTGGAAGGATATTTAAAAACAAACAAGGGAGCAGTGCCCCCCAGCTTGCTATGCTCACCAACCTGCCCCCCCCCCCCCTTGGCTCCAGCTTTCCACCCCTGAAACTCTCAAGGCCAGGCCAGGCCGGCCACAGCTCTCCCCTCACCCTAGCTGTCAGGACCACTGAGTAAGGATATTAAATATTGACTAAGGTGGCTGGCATGTTCCTGCACCCCCTGAGAAGGTCAGAGCAGGAATTCTCCACACAGCTCCAATTGATTAGTAATGGAGAACTGATCAGTAACAGAGAGCCATGCCCAGTAAAAGCTGTGGGGTTGGTGCCTGTAGATGAGGGCAGCACATGAAGCCATTGCTGTACATGCCAGCTGCTTGCAGGAGTGGTGCAGAGCCAGGGCAGGGGGAAGCCTGCCTTAACTCTACTGCTCCATTCCTGGGGCAGCTGTCCAGCTGCTCCCACTGTGGGCAGGACTTGAACCCACCATTCTGCACTCCCCAGGCAACTGCCCTATCCCCTACTCCACTCCATCAAATATTAAGTTAGTCAATAGGGCGATTCTACCTTTGAAGTATAGCAACAGTCCTAGGGCTGTTGCTACACTTCAAAGGTGAAAGCGCTGCGTGGAACCCAGCATCAGCTGGAGACTTTAGCTGATGCTGGGTTCCACATGCAGCCCGACACTGAGCTGCCTGCAACATTTCTGAAACGCCGCGTGCAGCTCAGGGCCCAGCTGGGCACTGCACACCCCTGCTGACCCCAGGCTCCATGTGGCGCTGCTGCTTTGAAATGCCCCGGGGAGACTAAAATCAGGCTCCCCGTGGCGTTTCAAAGCAGCAATGCCACCTGCAGGCCAGCGTACAGCCACAGACTTCAAGCAGTGCTGCTTCTCTGAAGTACCCGCTCCTCTTCTCCCCTCTTGCTGATAGAGGCAGTGGGATGGGAGGGAAAGCAACTAGTATGTTGACTACCTATCCCCGGCCAGCCTCAGCCTCCAACCAGAGCCAGACAGACAGATGGTTCTAAACATTAAAGGAACAACTTGAAAGTCACACTTTAAATGTTTTATACTTAAATAAAAGTAACCCCTAATATTACAACTGAAAGATTAGTGAAAGTAGTCATTTTCCCCACTTAATTTTGTTCAGTTTTATCTATCATGTAATTCTGAGTGAAATTCAGAATTATGTTTTTCCTCAAGCTTCACAAGAGGGTATTTACGAGTAACATCAGCAAAGCTGAAGCTGAACAGGAAGTATGTAAACAAACAGAATGGAGAAAGACGAGTCTGGCAACATTTAACATGATCAATCTTAAGGTCACCTAAGAGACCCTTCCAAAAATTGTTTGATTTTGGTTTTAGTATCATGCCATACTAGTTAGAAGCAGAAAATTAATATTTACTAAGTTAACACTTTTCCTGACAAATATTAAATATGTTTTTCAAACTATATCCCCATATAGGTGTTTCATTTCACATGTTCACCCTCCATCAGTCTGAGATTTTTGGCAACAGTGCTCCTTCATTCCACATGTTCCCTACCTACTCTCTTCGCCTGTAGAGAGCAGTTCTTCTCCACTGCAAAAGCTTAAGGAGACAACGCTCTAAAGCAAGGTGGAAGGAGAGAGTAAAGGAACAACCACGAGGGGACATCCTGAAATAGTCCATTTACTAAATAAGTAACTTTTCTTTCTTTCGAGCAACATCGCTTTGGATGTTCCATTTGAGGTGGCTTCCTTTGAAGGGGACGGGAACTGCAGAACTCAATCTAAATCTAACAGTAAAACTGCAGAGGCAATGACAGCATCTACTCAAGCAGCATCATGTATGGCATAGTGTCCTGAATTGGTATAGACCAAAGCCCATGAAGCACTCTTCCGAATCTACATCCATCAATAGAACAACAGATGTAGACGGATATCTGGCAGGTGGGCATATTAAAAGCTTTATAGCATGACAGGATCCAGTCAGAAGCCAACTTAGAAAGTCTTTGAATGAATACTGGCACTCTTTTAGCGGTCTCCACAATAGAAGCAAATAGCCTCCCAGGAGCAGGGGGGGGGTTAGCCTGTGGCAGGGGCTAGTGGCTGCAGAGGGCAAGCTCTAGGCTCTAGCAAGAAGGGGCATGGAAAGGGTGGAACTAGGGAAGCTAACCTCCTCCAGCCACCAGTTCACACACCACCCACAGACTGACCTTGAATCCGAGAAAGTGCTGGCAGAAATAATTTACAGCTTTGAATTCCAGAACGCTGATGTGTAAAATGGACTTTTGGGAAGTCCACCTATACTAAATAGGGACGGTAAATTTAGATTTATCAACTAATCAAATAGTCAATTCAGATTCCATTGGCTATCTGATTAGTCAATAAAGGCACCTCCACCTCTGAAACGTAGCAAGAGCCAGCTCTTCCTACATTTCAAAGGCAAAAGCACTGTACAGAGCACGGGGCCAGCAGGGGACCCAAGCAGTCCTCCGCTGGCCCCTTGTTCCTTGCAGGCTTTGCTTTTGAAATGTGCAAGAGCCTGTGGCACACTCGTATATTTCAAAAGTGGGAAGCATGGGGCCAGCAGGGGACTCAAGCTGCCTGCCCACCTACCTCCTAATACACTTTAAATGCAGAACTGCAGCGGGGGTAGGTCCAGGATCCAGGGCAAGCCAGGACAGAGCTGGGCAGCTGGCCAGCCTGTTAAAAAAAAATTACTGACCGGGGGTGGGGGGGAGGGAGAAGAGAGAGAAGAATGCGTGTAATCTATAGCATTAACCTCTAAGCTTTTGTGTATCAGTTAATTGACTATTCTATTACATCCCTAGTACAACTCAAGGGACAGGAATGAGGCACAAATTTGTGACCAAAACAAAATGAAAAAAGGATTCCAAAAAACTAACAAGGTACACACTAACTACAAATAATAAAAGAGTAAAATAAAGAAACTACAGGTTGAACTTCTCTAGTCCACCACCCTCAGGACATGACTGGTGTTGAACCAGAGAATTTTCTGAACCACAGGAGGTCAATATTGTCTACTAGCATTACCACCAACTTCCCCTGCTTACTGGGGCTGTAGGAGACATTTAGGGGTAAATTAGAGCTAAACAACAGCACAGAAAACTGAGAGCCAGAACTGGTGGCTTAAACTTTATGGGACCACAGAAAACTTGGTCACACTCATGGTACCTGAACAACCAGGTAAGTAAAATCAGGCCAGACCACAGATGTCAGACCAGAGAAGTTCAATCTGTAGTTTTATTCATTGTAGTTCCTGCAGGAGAGCACAAGTGAATTTCTCGGTTTCAGGCAGATTCAGTCTAAAAGGGACTGAGGTTGGTCTATCTGTTGCAGCTATGTATCTCCTCAGTACAGTGCATGAGAGTAACTGTGGCACACATGCAGAGTGAATGAGCATTGCCAAAAATCTGACCAAAGCAAAACTCAAGTACAGCACCCATAGGGGACACTGACAATGCTGCTCTGCAAAAAAGCCAGTAGTCTTGCTTTCAACATTTTTTTGTCATTAAAAAAAGGCCAAAATGGTAGACTTACTCTGAGAGTTCAGCAGTTTCTTCATCATGAATTCTTTTCCTCTCCGATAATTCATCAGCTAGATATTTCACCACTAATTCTTCAAGTAGTATTGTGACGCTATATTTCCTAACTGCCAAATACTAAAAAAATAAAAATGTACAGATATATATTTACCATAAAACATGTCTCAACTGTTGGCAACATTCTCATATAACATTAACACAAAATTCAAAGGTATTTTTTATTAAAATTACTTCAACTGGATAAGGAACTATAAAATCTGTCATAAGAAAACAGTATTAAAGACAAAGCAAACTTGAGACATTCATGAAGACTTAGCTACTATTAGTTGTAAACTCTAAAATTACTATAAATGAAAGAAGTTACAGGTTATTTAGTGCATTTGACAGGACTCGTATCTAGACAGTGCCGCTATTTCCTCTGCCTAGTCAATTTCCAGAGAGAAGCAATACAGGGGAAAAGGTGATAGCAAAAATTACAAAAGAACTGCTATTCACTAGGTATAAAAGTTGGTACAGCTTTAATTCTGCAGCATGGGTAAATTATGTGGCCACCAAAATATGGAATACATGTGGCCCTATCAATACTCAAGTGTTTTTTGGATCAGAAAGCATCTGCGTGGATTCAAGTCATCTGTTTTTTACATGATGGTGTCTAGCATTCCTTCAACCACCAATTAATAAATATTCTGAAGATTTACCTCTTTTAAGCTCTCTTTACATAGGGGACACTGTGGTGCATGATCTAAACAGCGTTCTAAACAATTCTTGCAGAAGGTGTGACCACAAGGAGTTGTCACTGGCTCAAAAAATAACCTAGAACAATGTTAAAAAAATTAGTCAACAATTGATAATCGGTAATTGTAACGTTTTAAATCCATTCTAAAGAAGTCTAACTATCCTATAAGAAAACAGTTATATAAATGAAAATCAATACAAGATTTATGCTAAAATTGTTTTGAATGTTTTCCCATTTTCTCAACACTGCCCAGTTCAACTATTCTGTGCTTCATAGTCATAATGATCATATTTCTAAGTACAACTATTTAATGTCTAAGTATATTTATATAAATAAGTACACAAATGCAGGGAGAGCTTCCTTAAAATATTAACTTAATGTGATATTACAATGGTTATGATTCAACCATCATAAGCATCCATTATAATTACTTCTGATTTTTAATACTTTAGAACAGGTTATGTATTTATAGAACACACAACAATGACCGAAAGGTTTTTCAGGAACCACAAAATAATCAACTAAAAGATGAGGTGAGATTTTCAAGGACATGAGTAAACCCCTGTACTATTTTGAGAATCGCAACCAATACCTTAAACCAAAGGCTACATTTAGGTACAAGTGCAAAGCAGTATTTGTCAATTTATCCAACAAAACGATTTCTAGATACAAAAAGTATAATCTAGCTTTCAGAATGACATCATCAGGCTCTCTGGCCATGAAAGCAACCAATGAGAGGGGGGTTGGTAAGTGTGGCGAGCAGGCGGCAAAGTCCTCTAATTGAGATTTAAGGCTAGTACACCAGTTTTAACTCACATATAAAATTAAATACATCCTTACCAATACCTATCCACTAAGGTAGTGGTTTTCATATTTTTTTTTCCCTCCTGACCCAATTGAAGAAAATTGTTGATGCCCATGACCCATCATAATTATATCTTCCAACTAGAGTGCAGGCTCCAGGGTGGGGCCACAGGGATGAGGGGTTTAAGTGTGTGAGAGGGGAATGTTGAAGGGTTTGCTTGGGAGTGTGGGGCCAGAGAGGAGGGGTTTATAGTACAAGCTGCGGGGGGGAAGGGGAGGCGGAAGAGAGGGTACAGGCATTCAGTATGTAGGTAGGGACTCTGGAATAGGACTGGGGATGAGGTGTTTACAATGCAGAAGGGCAGGGGGTTTAGGGGCTCATGGCTGGGATAGGGGATTCTTGGGTAGCTCCTAGTCAGTGACGCAGTGGGATTGTTCTGGAATTGCGGACCACACTGCAACCTGGAAGTAGCCAGAGGCAGGTCCAGCTCTAGAGGCTGCCCCGCCCCAATCTCTAACTCTGCACTCCCACTGGTTGCTTCCTGGTTTGTTTCCAGGCATTGCTGAGCAAAAATGGATGGAGCTCATTTTTTACTTGTTTTGAAATGGAACTGGCTTCATTGGCGTGCACACGGGTGTGCCCAGGCACGCCCTAGTGTTTCAAAGGGCCGCTCTGGCGCCTGGGGAACAGACGCTACTCAGGGTTTGCTACGCGTGCGTGGCTAAAACCGGCGGGTCTTAGGACCCTACGGAAACAGGCAGCAGAGAGCAGAATCGTCGCTCCGCCTCCTCAGCAAGTGAGGTAAGTTTAAACCCTGGGCAGAAAGGCAGGGGGGAGGTGTGCCCGCCTCCGGGCAGGGGCCGGAAGCAGTGCGGCTGCGCTCGGGGTGGGAAGGGGGCCACTCTGGGCCCGGGAGCAGTGCAGCTGGGCTCGGCCCGGCGTCGGGGGGCAATGCAGCTGGCCCAGGGGCAGCATGGCTGGGTCGGGGCAATGAGGCTGGCCTAGGGAGGGAGGCATTGGGGACAGCGAGGCTTGTCCAGGGAGGAGGGAGGTCAGGAGCAGTGCAGCTCCCCCCCGCTCCCCCCAGAGCTACTTCCCATCCCACCGTCCTCCCAGCTCCCCTCTTCTTCCCTGCCAACCCCGTGTTCCTCGACCGCCCCCCCACTTCCTGCGACTCCCGACCCCCCGCCAGCTCTACTTCGCGCCCCCCCACTAGAGGCTCCCAGTACCAATTGCGCCCCACCTTTCAGTCATTCCCCCTGCCACCACCAGGCTTCAGCCTGCTACCCAGCCGGAAAACCAGGAAATACCAGACATTGCATGTGTCAGGTATTCTCTGGATTTTTTTTTCTTTTTACCCGACAGAGGGCTCCAAAACCAGACTGTTCGGTAGAAAACTGGACACCTGGCAACCCTATGAGTCAGACCCAGTGCAGGCACCAAGTAATGGGGAGACTGTCGGAACTTTGGGAACCAGAGACTGCGGGGTGGGGGTTTGTGGCCCAAAAAGGGGCTAAAAAACTTAAGACACACAGATTAGTGGGAGCACCAGAAGTGTGACAGTCAGGGCGACCCTAGAACTCTGTTACAGACCAGCTGGCAGCTGCTGGAGGATGAGGGAAAAATAGGGGGTACATTAGATGCGTATCCATAGTGCTATGGAACAGGATGTGTAAACAGTGCAAAAATGGCACCAGACTAATGTGGAACTACACAAGCCAACCAAATTATTGAACAAGCTCTTTTAAAAAAATTTTAAAATGTAAACGGAACATTAGAAATTAAGGTTCCTGTAGCAATGTAAGGGCAGGAGGGGAAGTGTCAGTGAGGGGGTGACAGGATGATGCTAGGAGAGGAGAGGGGAAGGGCTTCAGAAGGCTAGAGGGGAGAAGGGGAGGTGCCTGGAGAAGGCTTGAAAGAAAGGGTGGGCATGAGGAAGGCAGAAATGGAGCAAGGCATGTGTGAGGGCAGAGGGGAACGGGGGGGGGGGGCGGCGAGGTGGGGGTGGGGGACGGACA